TCCACAGTGGTTGCTCCAGTCTACACTCCCACCAGCAGTGGAGCAGGGTTCCTCTTTCCCCACAGACCCCCCAGCATTTGTTATTGGTGGATTTCATGATAGCAGCCATTCTTTCTGGGGTGAGATGGAATCTCAGTGTTGTTTTCACTTGCATCTCTTGAATGACCAGTGAGGTTGAACATTTTTCCATATGTTTATTTGCTATTTCTACTTCTTTTTCTGAGAAATGTGTGTTCATTTCAGATGCCCGTTTTTGGATGGGGTCTTTAAATTTGAGTGGTCTGATTTGTTAAGTTCTTTATAGATTTGAGATAGTAGACCTTTGAGGAACAGCAGGTGAAAATTTGTTCCCACACTGTAGGTTGTCTCTTCACACTGCAGGTGGTTTCTCTTGCTGTGCAGAAGCTTTTTAATAAGAAGAAATCCCACTTATTGATTGTTTGTGCTAGTTCACGGTCAACTGAGGTTTTGTTCATGAAATCTTTTCATACACCGATGTCTTCAAGGGTTCTACCTAACCTCTGTTCCAGCTGGCTCAGCGTTTCTGTTTTAATATTTAGATCTTTAATTCATTTCAATTTTAGTTTAGTTCATGGTGAGAGATATAGGTCTAGTTTTAATCATTGGCAAGTTGAAACCCAAACTATCCAGCACCATTTATTAAAGAGGCTATCTTTCCTCCAGTGAGGGTGTTTGGCTCCTTTGTTGAAGATGAGATGGCTGAATGTGTCTGGAGTTATTTCTGCCTGTTCTAATATGTTCCACTGGTCCTCAGGTCTGTTTCTTTGACAGTACTGTGCTGTTTTTATTAAGTAGCTTTGTAGTATAGTTTCAACTTGGGGGTTGTAATACCCCCTGCCATGTCTCTGTTACCTAGAATTGCTTTTACTATTCTGGGTCTCTTCTTGTTCCAAATGAATTTTTGGATTGTTTTTCAAGGACCGTGAAGTATGCTGCTGGGATTTCAATTGGGATTGCATTGAATCTATATAGCAGTTTTGGAAGTATGGCCATTTTCACCATGTTGATGCTTCCTACCCAGGAGCAAGGGATGTCTTTCCATTTTCTGATATCCCCTTCAATATCTTTTT